ATAAAAACAAGTTTAAAGCCAGAGATGCAATGTATCTTTCCTACTCTGTCACCACTAGTCTTTTATCTTTGACTAGAAATATGATTTGGTACTCAGTAGAAAAGCTAAGCAGTTAACAGACTATGGGAAAGTTCTGACAGCCAAGCTCCTGTATTCACACTGTTGTCTGCCTTGTAAGGGGGCTGGCTAGGCTGTGTGAACTGTCTGCAATGGCAGCTGATCAAGAGAGACAATTTAAGATGAAAGTTTGAAAATCTCTGTATTTACCTGGGGAAACTCAGAGCACTTAATTGTTACCCTTTTACCTCTTAATGAAAGCAAGCAAAGTTTCCCAGAACAATTTAAAAAACAACAAAAGTATCACTGAAAGCTCCAGTTTCAACATACAAAACTCTCCACCTCAAGCCAGGTCTAATGGATTTCAGAGAAATGTTTGGGTAATAATGTACAAGGTATAACAGATACAAGCGTAAGTCCACAAACGTCTTAGGATAGTCATGACTTTGTCATCTGACCTTGTCCTGTCTCCTACTTAACTGCACAGGCCTATATGAGATCAGTTACTAGCCAAAGCTCTAAGCATCTGCCAGTTAGATGGGTAGGTAGAGATTCCTGGCCTCCATTGCCATGGCACCAGGAGCCCTCTCCAAGGTCTTGACTCTATTCAGACAGCTCACTCTGCTTTCTTCTTTGCTAGTGAGGTTCAAACCAAGCTAACTATTTAAGGGCAGAGGACAGAACCATGCCGGTGCATCAACACACTGCCCCTTGGTGCAGATTCTTAGAGTGCAAAATAAGAAATACCGAAGCAATTAAATAAAACTTCAGTCTCTGAATACCAACAGAGAAATTCTACTTAACAGAAGAGTGGGAATAAAAACCATCAGCACTCTTCCATTACTGAGTACATTACTCAGCATGGAGAGGATCCTCCTGGGGGCTCGGATATACTTAAGCTGCTCCAAGGATTGCTCAAGAGATTAAAATCATAAGGATTTCATTATCTCTTCATTGAAAGGGTCTAATTTGTTCAGGCTTAATGTCATTTTGTCATTTCTCATACATTAAAGGAGAAACAAAAATTGTTTCTATCTTAGTCTTCACATGAAATGTTACTTTCTTGAGAGTAACACTAGCTGACTCCTGGGTCTAGTGGGCCGGCTTTTGATTTGAGAGAAGCAAGAATGCTCTTTCCTTTGATTTTTCATTCTATATATTATGCAGAGGGTAAGAGAACAGGTCCTTCTGAAATGAAACTATTTTGCTGTGATCTAGGCTCAGGGCCAGAATTGCACAGAATGTGTGATAAATTTCTCTTAAGTGCCCTTTGCTTTAGGGAATGTACTTAAGACTGTGTGACAGGCTGAGTGCCTCAATGCTATGCAGCATGGCTTGAATGGCTTTCATGTCAGCATTTCTTTAGCTCTAATGTACACTCTTCAATACCTGTCTTGGTAACAGTGTCTTAGGAATCCAAGCTCCATTTAGGAATATAGTAGGTTTCTTAGCATTTACAAACCAAATCAATTCTGTCTGAACTGGCAAAAAATTTTGCTGACATCTCAGACAACCAGGCCCTTTTTAGTTTTCAATACTTTAGTTTATTCCATGTAGCGTGGCATGTGCTGCTAAGAACGCTTGAGGCCTGGGTTTCAGTCACATTTCTGTCTCTAATTTAATAGTGATTCTGGGGAAATTCTTTCCTGTCTTAGACAAGTCATTTTCCTCACCAGCAAAATGAAGGGGTTCAGTAGAGAAGAGCTGAGGTCTTAGTATTTTTGAAGTGAGCTCAAAGACTATTCTATTTGTTATTTTATTTTTAATAAGAAAAGAGAGATAAGTATATATATAAACTCTGTGATGTGTTAGGCACATTGCAAGATATTTGTTGTTTTATTAACTTACTCATAACTGCTCAAGACACTTTACCCACTCTGAA